GCGACGACGGTCGCGTTGGGGTTGGCAAAGGCGGCGCGGCAGACGAGGCGGCCGATGCGGCCAAAGCCGTTGATACCAATGGTGACAGCCATAGTGTTAAGAGGAGGAGGTGCTTGGGGGAAAGCCTGCAAAATGCAAAGTGAGCTTTCAGGTCGATCGCAACAGCGCGCGGATCTTGGCAAATCCTTCGTCCCGCCCAATCAACAGAGGCGTGGCACGCTTTTATGGCCAATCAGGACCTAGATTCATTGGAACGCGCGCAGGGCTGACGACGCCGCATCATTTCGTATCCAACTTGTGATTGGGTGGTACGCTAACCCTAACCGGTCTTCGTTGCGGGCGCCAATGAAATGCGTGCGGCATTTTCAACAGCCAATGGAATGGGTCTGTAGACATGCGACAATACGGTCGAAAGTGGGGACGCCAGGGCCCGGTGGCAGAGACACGCACGCGGTGGCGATCTTGGCCAACGCTGGGTGTAGGTATCGCCGGCAGCAAAGACGCGCAGCCTTGGCAGCGTATGCGGTCTTGGTCCTGGTTTAGCTTCTTGTATTCATATATTAGGAATGCAAGAAGCTTTCTCGTCTTTGCTTTGTACGCGACACCATCCGCAGCAGCAGCCGCATTTTCATCATCGTGGTCGCGCCACATCGTCGTCGACCTTCGAGAAAGCTCGATGAGCGGGAAAGGACGGTGGATATGGAGGGCGGTCGACAATCGACGCCTCGGTCGTTGGACCAGTAAACGTTGGATGCGATTCGAGTTGGGTGCGCAGTCATTTGGTGGGCGTTATACTACCGTGAGTACCGTGGACCCGCCAAGGTGAAATCCCCCTCGTCCCTCGCCGCTTCTTTGTGCAACGGTGTCGCACGCCATGGGAAAAATCCACTAAAGGTATCTTTGCAATCTTGGATGACTTTTTGTTGGTTTCGTCGCCACTTGGATTCCGACGACGGCTTATAGCGAGTGCATAAAGGCGGCGAGGTCGGCAAGGCCGCGCCGCGACAACGACACTCGCATGCCATCGAACGCAAAGCCGACGGCGGCGTCGACGCCACTGGACGCCCGCGGCGGCAGCGACGGGTACCGCTGACTAAAGTGCGTGAGCAGCGTTGTGCGGGCGCGCATGTCGTGGCCGACTTGGATGGCTTCGCCGACCGTCGAGTGCTTCTTCTTGATCGCGTCGTCGAGCATCGTGTCTTCAAACGTCGCTTCGTGGATGAGCACGTCGGCGTGCATGCCTACGTCCATGCCATACAATGAATCCTATGTGTCGATTGCAGCAGCACCTTGGGACACGAGGCGCGCGCATGGACGCGTGTCGCCCGAGTAGACAAGCTTGGTGCCGTCTGCGAGCACGAGAATGAGCCCGTACGCGTCGTAGCAATGCTGGACGGGCACGCTATAGAGGTCTCGGAACCCCGTGCCTTGCAAGAACTGAGATCGGGACGGGTGGCCGTGTTGGTTAAAGGCATTGATCGACACAAAGTGTACATTGTGGGGGGCCGCCCACGCCTGGCGCCACTGCGTCACGTATTGCAGAATGTCGTCGGGCGCAATCACGAGCAGCGGGAGACGCGCGTGGCAGAGGCTGCGCTCGTACAGAATGCGAACCAGCCCGCAGTGGTGGTCGGCGTGCTTGTGCGAGAGCCAAATGCACGACAGGTCCCGGATGCGGGCGCGCGTCTCGGTGCCAAACTGCCGCCACAGCTGCCCGAAGGTCCCTACGCCATCGTCAGTCATGCATCGACGAGGCGCATCATTCGAGCGTGTACCTTCCCCGCAGTCGATGAGCATGCCAGCGTACGGCGCGTATTCCAGGTAGATGGCGCTGCTGTTGCGTAGCTTGGACGGCGCGGCCGAGCCCGTGCCGAGAAATGTGATCGTGTGGCCATCGACCGGCGGTGGCGGCACGGCCATCGCGGTCGTCGGCAGCGTCCACGCGCACGGCGCGTACGAAAAGCCAATCGCTTGGTGCGCCTTGGCGGCGTGGAGGAGGTATGTCATGCCAGGTTGCGCGACCTGGAAGATGTACGACGCCGGCGTCGACGGCACTTTGACGCGGAGCTGCAAGTGCGTCTCCGAGGCGTTGGCGACCGCTTGAAACGCTGGCGAGAGCGGAAAGAGCGTCGGGGCTTTCTCAAACAGCGACAGACGGTGCTGCGCCGAGGCGGTAAACGCAAACCCGAGACGACCCGCGTCGTACGCAGCGAGGACACCGCCGTCAAAGAGAAGGTGGCGCGTCACACTGCCCGAGTGCGCATCGACCCACTGCGTATATCTAGTTGCCAATCAGAAAGCCAATAAGCAACAAGAAACATTTGTTGCGAACGGCTCGTCGTACGTCGGGTGCACAGCGATCGACGACTTTGTAAAGTGCACAACGAGCGACGGGCGGTGCGCGGCGCAGGCGGTAAAGTGGTGGGAAAGGAACGGCAGCCACGACGCCGACGGCAAGTCGACGAGCCACACGACCGACGGCGACGCGCCCTTGAACCTACGCCGGAGCGTCAGTTGTGGGTGCAACCAGGGACGGAGGTCGACTCGAGAATGTAAAACACGACGTTGTCGACAGGCGGCGAGGCGTCCGTTGGTGCGGGCGGCACAAACACGGCGTAATCGGGCGACCTCTCGGTCGTTTTCGGCTTCTTGACCTCGGCGTCGGGGCTCGCGTCGGGCGTGGGGCGCTACGGTACCCCACGGTATGTCACTCTGTCATATTGCTGCCAAGTGTACGTACTTTAGTCGCGTATTTCGTCTGCAGCATGGTCTTTAGATGCTCGTCCCGGCCCTCGTAGGTTCGGAGGACCGACGCCATGCGAGGAATCATGGCCGGATTGTGCACCAAGTAGAATCTGCGCAGCCACATCTCGATCGTCTCGGGTTGCTCGTCCTATAGGAAGCCTCAGGCATACGCATAGAAGAGGTAGAGTACGACGGATGCTGCCGTCGTTGCATCGGTCACGTCGTCACTCTTGTTCTCCGTTTCGTCGTCGGCGTCGTCGTCGTCGTCGTCACTGCTACTGCTGCTGCTGCTCTCGGACGGTGGGAGCTCGAAGACACCATACTTGGCCTCGAGCATCGATCGCAGATCGTCGTAGCGGCCCTTGTACTTGTTGGCGATCACGGCGATGTATGGTACCTTGGACGGATCCTTCGCGGTGTAGAAGGCCGTGAGCCACTCGAGAAACTTGTTTTCGGCAGACGAGACGCGCATGTCACGCGCAATTGGAGCCGACACCGTGGTCGGCTTGTGCGCGGGTGGCGGCGGTGCGTGGCGGCAGAGGCGGCACGTGCCCACGGCAGCCGGAGGAGGAGGACGGTCCAGCGATGCGGCGAGCGGCAAGACGCGCACATACGGATCATCGACAAAGAGCGCATCGGATGAATGCTCTTTGAACGAGACGTGGGATTGGGGCGTCGGGCCATCGCCGCCGCCAACCTCGGCGCAGTGAAGTGACGGGTACTGCCGCTTGGCAAACGACGCGGTCGATGTCAAGTACCGGTGGGTGCCCCTGGGTCCGACGACGTCGAGTCGTGGTGCGCCGCAGGTGCCAAGCGCCAGGATCATACCCGGTATGCCCGCTGCATTCTACATCAACGAGTGAAAACAAACAACGCGATTGCGAGACGCGCACCATTGGATCGAGACGTGTCAAAAACATCGAGTTAAGCGAGCCAAGCTTAATGCCGCTCTCGCCACACAAGCGCTGCGTGCCTTCGCCGCAGTTGAACATGTAGCTAGCGCCGTTGCGGCATGAGAGGCGCCTTTGCAACGTGCATACCGTCGGACGACCGTGGCATCGTCACTGTAGACGCCGTGCTTGGTGATGCTGAAGACCAGCGAGCCTTCTGTACCATCAGAGCCCGTGCCAAGGACGTTCAGCGAGACCTGCATCCAGACAAGTGAGCGCCTTCCGTCCGCTGCGCCGGCGAGGCCTACCGAGAGCGGCGCCGCCATCGTTCGCGCCAGCTATTCTTGGTCGTGTCGGATTATCCGGACGCGCGACTTGATTGGCTCCCGCGTAGGATCCGGCCTCAATGCTGCTGGACACATCCTCCACCACGGACGATCTTTTGCGTCCTCCGTCATAGCACTGACGATCTTATGCAGCACCCTCACAGCTTCTCCAAAAGTCGACTACAAGTATTGTACAAGTAGCTAAACAACGAGTTACTATACTAGCTGGACTATGCTGTACCGACTATCTTTCATTGTCCATTGCACAAGCGCACATCCCGCAGGCAAGTGGCGGCGAGGAGCGACCGAGGGTTGCTACTGCGTCAAGGTACCACCTCGAGCTCGACCTCGTGCGTAGCGCGCGCGGTCTGCGTTTCGAAGCGACTCTACCGTGACCGGAAGCTACAGCGCGACAAAGACGGCGCATCGTGGGTGCTGCGAGAAAGGACGACTTCGTGTCTCTCACACTTGATATTTTCAGACCAACATTCGTTTTGCTGGATTTACGCAGAAAAATCAACGGACAACCTCACTTTGCATTTTGCAGACTTTCCCCCAAGCACCTCCTCCTCCTTCCAACATGGCTGTCACCATTGGTATCAACGGCTTTGGCCGCATCGGCCGCCTCGTCTGCCGCGCCGCCTTTGCCAACCCCAACGCGACCGTCGTCGCCATCAACGACCCGTTCATGGACCTCGAGTACATGGCGTACCTCTTCAAGTACGACTCGACGCACGGCGGCTACAAGGGCACGGTCGTCGTCGAGGGCAACAACCTCGTCATTGACGGCCACGTCGTCCGCGTCTTTGCGGAGCGCAACCCGGCGCAGATCCCGTGGGGCGAGGCCGGCGCCGACTATGTCTGCGAGTCGACGGGCGTCTTCACGACGACCGAGGCTGCTGGCCAGCACATTGGCGGCGGCTGCAAGAAGGTGGTCATCTCGGC